CCTACCCTGAACAAGGTTATCTTCATGACAGACAACATGTAATAAGAGAGCTTTTAAGCAACCTGTCATGTTTCTCTAATACTCAGAACTCCAACTCGCCATCGAAGGTTGTTGGGTGATGCGCTCTTAGCCAGACCTATTTCACAAGGTTGTTGTGAAGATAAAATGGAGGACAGGAGAACAATGCAGCTTTCGGTCCCCACTGGGGAGAAGGACTGGGTATGGTATTTGTTATAAATCTAATTTTTCATGATTTTTTTTTAAATTACATCATTTGCCATATAGCAAAGTAGCCTTTATTTCATCTTTCACCAGCACTATACAGTTTTATAATTCAGTAGATTGTTCTCTGCAGAGCATAATGTTCTTTGGGGAACATACCAGAGGAGATGGACCCGAAGATACATTATAGAATGTATTTATTTATTAATTAAACCATTTCTATCCCGCCTATCCTCTTGGTTAATTCCTTGGAGTTTTGCTCAGGCCTAAACTGGAGCTTGCTAGGTGTTCAATTACTATGTGGTTACAACTGGGTTTTTGTGTGTGTGTGTGTGTCTTGGGGGGAAAAACCTGGTTACTTGGTTTTCATTATTTGGCACTGTATAGATAAGATTTATCACAGAGCTATATAGATATATGCTTAAAGTTTATATTAAGGAGACAGTGTTGCAAGCTCTTCTGATACTTGGACAGTAGTAGCTAATAAAATGGGGTGGGAAGCATTTAATGACCATTGTCTCTGAAGGGAAAGGGTCCCATCTACTTACCAGTGATCATCACTGGGACGCTGAAGAGGTAGCGGTGGTAAATGACCAAAAGAACAATGATGTCAACAGCTGTGCTAGGCAGCACTGGTCATTTGTCATTGGCGTGCTTGCACACTGTTTTTCCAGCAGCCCCAAGTAAGGAAGGACATGGGACTCCCTCCTTTCTAGGGCAGCTATTTCTTGACTTTTACTCCAACGTTCTAGCTGCTGTTGCCCGTTGGGATAAAGCAAAGTTCAAATGCAATTATATTAATTAAGAATCTGCAATGGTCAGCTGTAAATCTTGTCTGCTAGTATAGTAGTACTAGCCACCAGGCCCTTTGCAAAGTCAATGCAACGAGCTCTAGCAAGACCCCGGGGTGAGCGTTGAAGCTATGAAGGCCGTGGAAGTTGCCATCAGGACCCTCGCTGTCCGGCGTCCCACTCCCGCTGGTGTGGGCATGCCGGTGGCGGGGTGGGCGAGCAGTCAGAGGCAGGTGTCCAGCCGCCAGGCGCAGCGGGAGGAACCCCCAATCTGCAGTGCACTCCCCGTGGCTTTGGCCGGCGCCTCCATGGCTGCCTTCCCTCCAGGGAGGTATTGGTGGTGCTGCCACTGCAGCCAGGCTGGTCGGAGCTCAGGGGCTGCAGACATAAAGCACGGGGGGGGGGGCTGAGTGTGGCGCGCGAGGCTTGCCGGCAGTGGAGAGGTCAGGTGGTGGAGGTGGCCCTGGCTCATCGGCTCCCGTGGCGCTCAGAGGCAAACATGGGAGCGGAGCGGGCACCAAGTCCGGTAAGCGGAGGCCGGCGAGGAGCTCGGCCACGCTGCGGCGAGGAGGCGAATGGGGCATGGGGAGTGGTGGGGCCGTGGAGCAAAGTTTTGTGCGGCCACTGGGAGGTGGCGCCCGGGTCTCCCTCCAGCTCAGCTGGCTGTGTGGGCTGCCAGCTGGCTGCTGTGTTTCCTAGCTTCATGAGCGGCCTGGAGCACCCTGCGGGCCAGCAGGCACCATTGGGGCAGAGGCCGGACAGCAAGGTGGTGGGCCTCGAAGACATCCACCCGCCGGAGCGTCCATCCCAGCTGGCGGCTCCCCGGAGACTGAGGGCGAGTCAGCAGTTGGCGGGTCTGTGGGCGGGGCAGAGGCGACGGAGGGAGGCAACACGACCAGGGGATTTGTCCCCCTCCTGAGCGACAGATTAGGGACCCAAAGCCTGGGGAGGCGTGTGGAAGAGTTCACACGAAAACTCAAATATATATAAGGAGAGATTATGATACTCTCTGGACAAATGTTTTCAGTGAAGCTTCTATTACATCTGAGCCTCTTTCATGCTGCTTAATTAACATTTGATGGCTAATTGAGAAAGTGGAAGGTGAGGGATTTGTACATTCTATAGCTCTTTTACATTTGTGTTCTACAGCTTTTTTTTAAAGCTACTCTAAATCTCATGTGTGAAAATGTCTATAATCTGAGACAACCCCTTGGATGACAAGAACTGGGAGTATGTGGAACTGCTGCAATGGTAAGAATTAGACATTAATGATTATATTCTTCCAGGCAGATTTCCTAGTGCTATTGTCTGTTGATGGCTGGTTTGTTTGCTAGTTCACAAATGTGGTTTTTTGAGCTACTGGAATGGCAGAGTAGAGTTTTGTGAGCTGGTGTTTTTAATTAAATACATTTACCAGTCCAGTGTCAAGAATAATGCATCAGCCAAGCTACCTAATAAAATGCAAACTCTTCCATTCATATGTTAATCAGTGATAGTTTTATGTTGCAACCACATTGATAGCTTTGGCCTTTGTTATGCTTGCTTCTACAAAAGATGGCTCTGCAAGGCAGTTTCAGGGATTTTGGTGTATTTTTTCAGCACATCCAATCATGCAGTCTTTGACATAACTGGTACCCCACTCATCTGTTTTGCTCAAACCTAAACTGAACATATATGGAAGTGATGTTTCAGAAACTGTAGTCTCTATAAGGGATGAGAATGATGGCAGAGTAGAAGCAACTGTGTCACATCCTCATCCTGACTTTAATAAGAACTATTATCTCATGGTTTTCCCCCCCATTTTGATACCAAGGCTGCAGTCACACACACTAAATAGACAGAGTAGAAGCAACTGTGTTACATCATCATCCTGGCCATAATAAGAACTATTCTCTCATGGGTTTTTCCCCCCATTTTGATACTAAGGCTGCAGTCACACACACCAAATAATCCACTTTCAATCTGCTTTCCAACTGGATGTTCCCCATTCACACTAGGGTTGCCAAGTCCTGCAAACTCACCGGCGGGGGAGGCTCCGATGGGTCCGGGAGCTGGCTCCGGATGCGCCGCCAGCACGTCAACGGAAGTGACGTGCGACGTTGCTCACATTGGGGGCGTGGCCCAGATCGTCGGGGGAAAACCATATGGTTTCCCCCCGACGATCTGGGCCACGCCCCCAACGTTAGCGACGTAGCATGTCACTTCCTGTGACGTGCTGGTGGCGCATGCGCACACACATCCTAGGAGAGCTCCCCCGCCGGCAAGGGTAAGTACACTTGCCAACCCTAAGGGTGGGGGTGGCTAGCAGTTCACACAGTAAAAACCCAGTTTGAAAGTGGATTATTTAGTCTGTGTGACTGCAGTCTAAGCTTGCCATCTCAAACACACTAACTTGCAAATCCCATTTAAATCAAGTACTGAAGTGAGAATTCAGGACATCAGACTGGGTTATTTAGTACAGGACACTTAGTATTTTTTTTTGGGGGGGGGAGAATTCATTTCCATTGAAATCAGCAATAAAACTCCAGTCGGCACATTAGGATTCTACCCCAGTGAGCTATCCCTTTTGCAAAATCACTTATAAAACAAGCTGTTAGAATCAGTTCTAATCCCATTGACTTCAATGGCCAAACATCTGCTGACTTGGATGACAACAACAATAGGGTCCATCAGCTCAGTCAGCCACAGAATATAATGTGTTTCCTGGGTAGGTCCACACAATGGAGAAAGACACCACATGGTGATGTTAGAGCATATAGTATTAGTTTAACAGTTAAAATGGCAATGAACAACAGATATCATGGGACAGTAAACAGAGCACATGTTCTAAAGGAGCACCATCAGACCAAATGGAAAAAACAAAGTGTTCTTCCTTGGCTGTCTCTACTGAATCGAGAAGTCAATAAAGGATAAGCATACACCCCAGAAGGATATATTGAAGAACAGCATGAATCAGCTTTTGCCCTTCTCTGGCTTTGTTTTAATTTTAAAAGAAATATCACAGTTGGTTCAATATGGTATAGCCTAAACAAACACGAAATAGTAGGATCCTTAATTTTAATTTTAAAATTAAGACAGCAATATTAACAGCAGAGTTTGTTCTATGCTGAACCATCAAACCCTTGGAACACTGCACACAGTTTCTGACCTGCTCCCCCTGACTATTACAGTATTCATGAAGAAATTCTTATTACTAGATCATTGATAGCTATAGAAAAAACAGGATATGCATACTTATGTGCAATGTGCTTCCTGTGTAGGATGAATGCATTCTTGTAATAATCTCCCCTTTTCAATTTTGCTACTTTTTCTGTTTGGCTGCTGTACTGTGGTTATTGTAGGCTCTGTGTATATATGACATTTTCTGGTGGCCAGTGTGAGAGGTTAGTCATATCTCCTTCCTTCTCAGCATTTTGGCCCAGAACAGTTTAATAACTAGGTCCAGTGAGTTGCTAGGGTAACAAGCTAAGGAGCTTCAGTTATTTATTGCCTAGCAAGAAGGAAAACACTTCATTTTTCCATTTGTTTTTCCTGCACAGATTTGCATCTCTTATTTCAGACATTCACATGCTAAAATACGTCTACCACCACAACCGCCCTTTTAAAGCTTGAATCCAAAAAGGCCTATAATATACATTGCACAACGGTCACCACAAAAAAGCAAGTTGCTTCAAAGTAACAAATTGTTAATCAGTAGCCAGTTTGCCACACAATCCCTGCTGTTGCACACAGTTGCAGCCATCTTAACAGAAAGCAGAATACAGGAAGCAGAGCCCCTTTTATAAGCAGTCCTTGAAGAATTGGTCATTCCTGCCACTGTTAAGCAGCAGTCCAGCAGTTTATTGCCCAGTGCATCATTAATTTCCCCTCCCGCCTCCTTTCCCAGCTTCATTATCTAAACTGAGGCAATGAAGAATGGAGGCAAGTTTATGGATGCATTGATTGCTTGGGCTGCGGGGTGAGGAATAACACATTCAGTCTACCTACCTTAGTAGTGAACCTTTTGGGGTTGCAATGCCATAGCCTTTGGAATCCAAGTTACCTCCCACCTTCATGGTGTCACATGGCTTTCTCTGCTCAATGTACTCATTCATGGTAGACTCTAGCAGGTAGGCATACTTCCCTTTCGATCTCCTCACACGTTTCATCCCCTCTTCTGTTGTCGGCACGAAAACAGAGGGCTCAGCTGACTTCATGTACGTCCACATCTTCTCAAAAACCGCTATTTTAGATCTCTGTCCAGAATAGCATAAATCCACTGCTCTTAGCATGTGTTAAAACACAGAGCAGAGATTCATACACCAAGGTAGACACACATTTAGTTGGGCTGCGTGCTTATACACTGTATGGCTAAAGAGAACAAAGGACTTAGAACCCAGTGTCATTACACAGATATGCTCTTGCAGCAATTTCTGGCATCACAGCAACCCATTTTAGAGGGGAAAAGGGGAAACAGACTAAGAACAAAGCTACATGGAAAACGTAATAGATGTAAGGTAATTTGGAGCTAGAGACACCTATCTTTTGGCAATACATCAGAAACACATTCCTAGCTCAGTTGTATGAAACATAATTGTAGCTGAAGTTCCATGTTCAATCCCAGCCATCTCCAGTTGTTTAAAAAAGAGAGATTATAGTGCTGGGAAAGACCTCTGCCTGAGACCATGCAGAGCTGCTTCGATTCAGAACAAAAACGTTCCGATGGTCTGTATAAAGCAAATTCACAGGTTGTACAGCACTGTGAGCAATTGAGCTGCATCATTTGAACTGTAGACCATTAAAGGCGGAAGGGGGCTTGAGAAAGCATTAGACAGAACTGTAAAGAAGAGGACAGGAGGCCTTGCTACATAAGCTCCCTTTGAGTGTAACATCAATGTATTTACATATGGCAAATGGTGCCACTAAATTACAGAGCTAACCAAGTACTTATTATTCTCTAAACCTGGGCTGCAAGTCACAGGGTAATTACTTTGGATGCTGCTAAGTGTAATTACTCAGTAATCTGTGGAAGCGTGTAATTACTCCATGATTTTTAGGGTATTTATGGTATCTGGCAGACCCTGTGTGCTGTATTTCCTGTGAACAAGGGCTAGCATAAGATTCTTGTTTTGTACACTGAAGTCAGAACTAATTTCTCTTACCCTAAAAAATTCTTTAGTAGAACCAGCATCCAGAGTTCCATAACTAATCTCTGTTTGCTTGGCCAAATCTTCTGCACTTTCTATAGGAGACACCATCCTCTCCACGGTCAAGAATGCAGCTAAATTGGCTGTGTAAGAAGAAATGATGATCAAGGTGAAAAACCACCAGACTCCACCAACAATACGTCCAGACAGGGATCTGAAGAGGGGGAGGAGAAAAAAAGGAAGAAGATTAATTGAAAGAGAGGAGAAGAAAACATAGACTTTAATCCCCAGAAATACGATTCTGCATAAGACCATGGGTGGAATCCTTTTGGTAGACTGCATCTACAATTAGTTTGCCCTCAACCTGATATTAAGGGCATTAATACCATTCTTAAGGGCAGTAATACCATTCTTCTGTCTTAGCATACTGAGGGTCTTTTACACTTACAATTCCTCAAAGACTGCTGCTTCATACAAATCTGTGGGCTTTTTACGAAGCTTTCGTTGGGCCCTTATATGTTTTTAACTGTCTTTCTAAAAATACATGTATGTTTGTATATTATAAGTTTCAACTAGGTTTTTCATATTGGCCCTTTATTAGACTTCTTTCTTACCCCTGTGGTTCTTGATTCCAACTTTTGCAGCACCAGCAGGGGAGGGGAGACGGCCAGATGCTGGGGGGGGCAGGGTCAAATGGTGGGAAAATCAGGCTTTCTCTTTCCCAAGAGACCAATCACAGGGATCTAATGTGGTGGGGGAGGGCTGTCACAGGGGGAAAGGAGCTGGCCATTTGCCTCCTGCCCCATCCTTGTCTGGCCATGGAGCTGTTGCCCACCCATCCCACCCTAGAGAATGAGCCTTTAAATGATAGCAGTGTGATGAAGGTATAGGGGTTTGGGAGGCAATGCAATTTGAATGTTGTTTTTAGCTTGGAATTGTTAGCCACATGATGTTGTCTGTTGTTTTATATGCTATATTCTTAGTCACAACTATTTGGCGATGACAGCATGGGGTTGGATCAATTTATGGAAATTGGCCTGCATGCTGTTTCCTGGATATGGGAACCCCCATAAGGGGTCTTAGCGTGAGGGCTTAGGGGAGCAAGCTTGCTCTGGGACAGCCAGCGTTTGCCCTCACAAGCAGATGGCAGGGGATACCAGAGAGGGGCAGTTGTCCTGCAACCTGCCATCCCGCAGGTCTCCACCCAAGCCAGTGGGCTAGGTGTGATGGGTATATCAACTGGCACAGGCCAGCTGATGCTTCGGATCCAGTGGACCCATGCTGTGCCAATGCTGCTTACAGCTGTAACCAATAAAGTTGTGGCCATTTTATTCCACAAATCATCCAAATTTAGTATGTGTCTGGTTCTGTTATACTGGGGTAAGGATACATAGCAGCAGGACATCTCCCTCCCCACCTAAAAGCTTGAGCCGCAAAGCCTCTGTCTGTCTGTCATTCTCCAAATTATGCCATTGCCATGGAATCTGGCAGAAGTACATTCAGAGAAGGCGTGGTATGACAATAAAGAATCCTCATAGCAAGGCATCCGCTGTTTGAAGTATACGAAGGCCCAAATTATTTTGCCAGGGGACATCCTATTCTGGAGGAGATTTCATGAATTCTTCAAAGATTCTGTATATGCATGAACTTATCCATAGGACTGTAAAGTAACAGATAGTGAGAATCTCATGATTCTAAATGAGCTATAAGAAACCCTTGAGAAGGCCTGTATGGCCCTGTGGCACAGAATGCTTCCTATCTGCTTTGGGACCCATGTAGGCTGGATTGTGTTGATTATTTAAATCTAAATTATTTAATTTTGTTTGTATATTCATTTTAATTGTACTGACTGTCTTGCCCTGCAAAATACAATCCAAGAAACAGCTTTTTTAAAAAACTTATTTTGTTCGTCACATAGCATTAAGAAGAATCTCAGTCAAGAGATATGGATGCCTTTTTATACCAAATACTCAGCCTCTTCCAAAATTAGCCATAGACAACACTATAGGCAGAGTTATTTCATTTCTCTACTAGCTTATAGCTAGAATCTTAAGAATTAATTGAGCCAAATGCCCACCTTTCTAAAGGTTTCCTGTTAACCAATAAGTGTGAATGAACAATTAGAGAAATCATATCCTGGTAGCACAGCTGGGAGGGCATAAATATTTTGCTCATAGAAGCTAGCCGGGGCAAATAATGATGTAACCTAACAGCTTCATTGGCTGTCTCGGTCAGGGGAGACTGGAATGTTGTGCCTTGACTGGAGGATAGGGTTGCCAGCCTCCAGGTGGGGCCTGGGGATCTCCCGCTTTTACAACTGATCTCCAGCTGACAGAGATCAGCTCCCCTGGAGAAAATGGCTGCTCTGAAGGGTGGACTCTATGGCATTGTACCATGCTGAGGCCCCTCCCCTCCCCAAACCCCACCCTCTCCTGGCTCCACCCCCAAAGTCTCCAGGTATTTTCCAACCCAGACCTGGCAACCCTACTGGAGGATCTCAAGAAGTCAGAGATTTCTGAGCTTCACTGCCTACACTTCTCCAGCCCACAGTGATAATTCAATATCAATCTCCCCGTGGTGAGGCAGATTTTTTTTAAAAAAACACCAGTGTCATGTTCCAGTTGTCAAGCCCCATCCTGTACACTTCAAGAGAGGATGAGGTGGACGGAGGCACACGAGGATGATGTCAGCTGGCAACACTTGTGGCCAGAGGGTCAGCAACAGTCAGAGTTATCAAGCTGCCTGGCTGCAGAGGCAGGAGGTTTGCAACTGATCTCCAGGCAACAGAGAGCAGTTCCCCTGGAGAAAACGGCCACTTTGGAAGGTGGGCCCTATGGCATTAGAAGCCACTGAAGTCCCTCCCCTCCCCAAGCCCTGCCCTCCTCAGGCTCCGCCCCCCCAAATCTCCATGCATTTCCCTTTCTCTCTGTGTGACGCCAGTTAAGTGCCAGATAACTAGGGTTACCAGGTGCCCCCTGGCGGAAGATGGGGGTGTAGGGTTGCCAGATCCAGGTTGGTAAACTCCTGGAGATTTGGGGATGGAGCCTGAGGAGGACAGGGACCTCAGTGCTGTATAATGCCACAGATTTCGTCCTCCAAATCATCCATTTTCCTGCAGGGGAACTGATCTCTGTAGTGTGGAGATGAGTTGTAATTCCAGGGGGATCTCCAGGTCTCACTTGGAGGCTGGCATCCCTACAGATAATGAAACTTTTATCGTAAAAGGTTCTCCCCCCCCCCTTTTATGGGAATATGTTACTTTCAGAGAAAACGATGCTTTCTCTTATGCTGCAATCCCCTCCCCTTTCAGTGCAGCACTACTTCAGCACGTAGTGAAACATAAAATAATTTATCCGCCATCATTTCACTTTCCTGCTCCTCTATGCCTTCAGCCACCACATTTCTTGCCCAAAATGTCAAAGGTTTTGAACGCATGAATAATTTATACAGAGTTAAACAAATGCCAACTACAGACCTGCATCAAAAGATATGGATGACTCGTTCAAATCAATAGATAAAATCCATCTCTTCTATTCCCTTTCTGTCACATCTCTCTTCGTATAATGACTAACAGCTTCCAAGGCTTTCTTGTCAGTCCCTCCCTTCCTGTTCAGTCTAGACCCTTTATGAAATTGTTTTCCAACCCTCTTTTCCTCCCCAGATTTCAACTCATCCACAATCCTCTATGCCAAGGGCTGGATTAAGGCTGAATGATGCCATAAACACACCCCAGCAATGGTGCCCCTCGGCCCTTTCACTGCTTAACTGGCAAGACATTAAGACTCAATTAGTGCTGAAGGTGAAATTTAGTCACTCACCATGCCAAAGAACTTTTTTTAAAACAATGCACATTGAAGTCAAACATGGCAGAGAAGGACAATTACAAAAAACCAACTAAAGTTGAGTGTGGCAGTGAAAGAGTGGAGGGCATGATAGCTATGGGAAGAAACTCTGTGGTGCCCCCCCTTCCCTTGGTGCCCTAAGCACGTGGTTATTTTGCTTAATGGTTAATCCAGGGTTGCTCTCTGCAGATTTATGCTTCTTATCCCATTGCCAATTATTCCCCTCTTTCTTCAGCAACTGCATCTCTAGGCTTTCTCCCAAATCAATTTTCCAACCCTGAGCCTCTCTACTCTTCCACTCTTCCTTTCCCCCATTTCTGTTAAATAACACAGAGCCCCTCCTGCTCCTAGACTGCTGTAAGTGTTAACTTCCATTAGGGTTTCCAACTGTGGCTGACACCCTGGCAGGAGAGATTGGGATGTGAGGACAAGCTCTTCAGGTTTGCAGCACTTTGCGATGTCACTTCTGGGACAGAACTGGAAGTGATGTCATTCCAATGGCACAGTGTTGTAGGATTCACTCCAAACTCCATGACTTAACCATAGAGTCTTGGATGAATCCTAAAGAGGCACCCTGAGTCAATTAGGTCACTTTGGGTTTGGTGCTGGAAGTGACATCATGGGTCAGCATGATGCTGAAGAGACCCCTATTTTTGCCCACTGACCTGTTGAGTGGCAGCACATAAGGGATCCCAGAACCCCTGCCTCCCAGCCAAAGTGATAGTTTATTTGCCCTACAGAAGCAGCAATTTTCACTATTGAAAATATTGTCAGTTCAGTTGTAATATTTATGAGCATTCAATAACATCACAACACCTGGGATTACAGACCTGCAGGCATCAGTCAGTGTTTAGCCTGTTTATCTTGGATGGATTAATTAGAAGATTTTTTCCCCTGATCTTAATTAATCCCCTCCCATCTTTAAACTATGAAGCAGACGTATTCCGCTATCATCTTGAAAGATTCTGGGGAGGAGGTTTGGGGTCTGAGGGTGCACCTTCCACAAAATATAGAAGGCGGTTTTGTTTCAGCAGGCATTAACTAATGAATTGTAGCAGTAAGGGCTTCTAGATATTCTCTAAATTCTGCTGGTTCTGGTTTGCTGTGATTTTTAGACTGAAATTTCTACTGTTCCAGACTGGGCTAAGATTGTTTCTGTTGTTGTTTCTATGTATTTTATTGCATTGTTCTTATAGATTATTATTTATTTACAGCCCATCTTCCTTGCTGAGACTCAAGCAGATTACAGAACACAAAAGTGCAATCTGACAATATAATTAAAATAGTGCAGCCAAACATAAAACAACCAATGAATAATGTAACAGGACTAGGGTTACAGAATTAGAAAACAATGAGCACAACAAACTGCTGG